TTCCAGGCGACGATGACGAAGTCATCTATATCCCCAGCGACAGCGAATGAGCTTCTGAGATTCTATCTGAAGAGGAGGCAATCGTTACTGCGCGAATTGATCTCACGTATCTTCGGAAGCTGCGCCGCCTAAATGTACTTGGGCAGTAGCAACTGCTGAAACATCGAGTCATGTGCATTGAAGCAGTCGGTTATCGTGACAAGCTACAAGCCATCTGTGTGAATACAGTTCGTTTCACATCTAGGTTGCAAGGATAGTCTGTGAGCAACTTGTACAGCGAAGTACGTGCATACTACGTTTTCCTAGCTCCTAGTTACAATCAACTTGTATATAGAATACTCAAGATGTTTCCACTTCTTGCCCTAGGTATATGCGTGACAAGATGTGTTACACGCGATGTTGGCTGCTTTCCTTGCCATCTATGGATCTCGAGAGGGTGCGACAATGCTCGATCTTGATAACGCGCCTCGCTAGCTCCATCGCGTCATAGCACACCATGTATCCGTAGAATGTCTAGGAGAACACTCCGTACACTCCAAACTGCCCAGGTGAGGCCTTTATGCGCACAGCCTCCTACTGGTGGACATAATCGAAATATTCTGCGGGATACTAATCGGGCCTGACCACAAGATAGACAAGAGTAGAGCACAAGGCTACCGAAAGAGGTAGTTTGAGAGACATACGCTATTGTCCGACCCCCAAGCCAAGCGCTCCCCAGACTGCATGTGTGAAGCACAAGGCCGTCATACCGTGTGCGATACCGACTCCCAGAGCCCAGGAACAACATCCGGACCGGCCAATTCCAGGTGCACGCCGCTTACCCAAAAGCTTAATTGCGACCCAAGCCCGAGCAAACCCAGGTTTGACATGCTGTCACCCCCATCCATCTACAGGATCATCTTGCGAACCTGGGCTACAGTAACGAAACCGCGTAATGAGTATACGCCGTACGCCCATCCCCCAAGCACCGACGTCCGCCCGTCTTATGGTAAACATCTTACGATTCTGACCTCATTGCGTCCAGGGTGCCAAACTTTGCAACACCGACGCTCTGTCCTCCCTCTCCCGCACCAATGGTCTCACCGGCAACTCGCAGAAACACGACACAACCAGCATGACCCATGTTGAGCATTTCACCTTTCTTCCAAAATCTTACATGGACGTGGTATATGCGTTTACCCTGCGTCCGCCAAAACACACGTGCTTACCTACATTGGCATTTCTGACGACCGCCCATGCTCATGTTGTGATGGTGATGGACATGTGCTAGCCTCGCTTCTTCTCGTGATAAGGGAAGCGAAGAAAAAAAGCAAACAAAGAGGAGAAATTAAAAAGAGGGCAGCGAATCACGTCGTTTCGGTACGCCTTCCGGATGTAGCGCGCGAGAGGGCAGGAAAAAATCCAAGATAGATTGCTTGCTCCTGTCGAGCCTCTCGGCCAAGTTGATGGATTTAGATTGCGAAGTTAGATGCACGACAAATGCATCCAAAGGCGGTTTTTCTCGCTTTTCCTTTCTGCTTGGAGAGCGGGACCTGCGATCGGACCGTTTGTGATGGTAAGCGCCCCTCCCCGCCTCGTCACGAGAGATGATGTGGGCTATGCAGGTTGATTGAGGAGGTGCCTGCGGAGTTGGATCCGGTTACACACCGCTATCTATTGCTTGGTTCAAAGCGTGTTTTTTCAACATTCCATTGGGCATTTGGTGCGATTCGCTGCCCAGGTGGTATGAAAGCGTCGACGTTGCTGCCCGGGCGGTCTTGGTACGTCGTCATATGAGGGAGGGTTGGGGGGTGCGATGGGAGCGGAGCGGAGACAGAAGCCGGACGGAGGGGTCATATCGACGATGCGCATGCAAGATAGGTGGGATGATGGATGTTCAGGGTCCGATTGTCGTTCGGAGAGACCCAACGATACGCCCATGCCAATGCCAATGCCATGACACGGGGAAGTCTCTTTGGTGGCTTGCCGCATGTCAGATTTGTTTCCATGGTTCGCTCGTATACTGGATGATTTGTTTCGACACGGCTCGTAGCTTGGGATCGTCTTTGTTACGACAAGCGCGCCAGGTGTGCGATGAGTAGCGGTAAAGAGGAGACCACATTCAGGCCCAAAGTCAGGTCAGGCGATGGCTCGTCGGTGCATGACATTGCATGAGTGAGGCACAACGCCCTTTCCGGTTCAATGGAACTAGAGACGAGTGTGGAGCCCGACTTGAGCGTCTCCCTCGTTTATCATTCGCGTGGAACTGTTCTTCCCGACCCTCTAGTGCTGATCTTGCTAGCGTGCCATGTGCGTTCCCGCTTCTGTTTCTTGTATCTTACCTGCTGTGGCTTTGTTGTGATGCCGAGCGTTTGAGCCTTGCGCGGCATGGTAGATGCACGCCGCGCCGTCGAATCGCATGTGAATATCTAGTGCTGCAGCTAGAGTATCTACTACAGCGGAATTTGGCTAGTTAGTCGATACAGCGGGCTGTGCTTCAGGTCTTGAGGCTGTTTGGAAGGTCAACGAGGGTGGACCTCGGGCGTGCGTCGAACAAAGGACAGCAAAACGGCGCTGTTTTACGGGGTGTGTGCCGGAGTCTTCGGCCGACAGGTACTGAGTTGTTCGGAACAGCAGGAAACGAGTGCAAGTCTGCCCGACTGGAGTTAAGATAGCCCGGCTTGGTTATCCAGGACAAAGGAACATGCCGATTCGGCAATCAAGCGGGAAAAAAAAGCAAGGGATCAACTTTGACATCAACTCTCCACTTGCACACGATGCCGCATATTCGCCGTGTGGGCCGTTTGGGGCATCACCAACGCTCTTCTTGAGACTTGTATCAGACAGGCGCGGACTAACTCTTCCGCGCTCGCCCGTGGAAACACTCTAGAACAAGACTTGGAACCTAGCGCAGCCGACATGCGAGACTACGCTTCTTGGATGTCTGTTCTCAATCGAATAAACCTTCTTTTCAATGTTTCTAGAAACACACCATGGCCGCGCTACCGGACTTTCTCCCTGACATATCGGGGCGTCTGCTTCGTGCCTGCTAGCCAGCCGCTCGACATGCCCTCCGGAGCCTTGCCGAACCGCCTTGAGCACCTACCATAGTTTCATCACCTTCTACACCGGTACATTGGGCGCAAGGATGTCTGCAGCCGAACGCCTCAGTCCTTCCACATGATCCTTGCGAACATCGATGATCTGCACGTCAATCGCGTCTTTGGACGGCAGAGCTAGGAGTATTTGGAAGTCTGCATCGTGAGCGCATGGACGTTTTTCTTGCTAAGGGTCTCCTAAGGCCGTTGCCAGTGAAGGGGTTCCTGGCTACACGGCTTCCTAGATAGCTAGGTGGAGCGAGTCAAGTGTAATGAATTCATGGGCTTGCAACAGGATGACGATTACGGAATGGGTCACTTGATGCCGTCTTCGAGAATAAAGACCGGGGGTGTGCGCTGCTGTGGCTGATGTTGATGTTGTGGAAAGCTGCTCACTCTACTATTCCGACTCTCTCTTGATCCATAGGGCTGGCCTTGCTAAGGATCTGAGCCTCATTTCTCGATACGACATATCGGCCCATATCCTTCCTGTCGCCAACTAATCAGTCGAGTCGAGGTACTATAAGTTGACGGATAAAGTCAATTCCTTGAAGACGTCAACCATCATGGCGAAAACAACACGCTCACCGTTCCTGGATATCCTTCCTCCAGAGCTCCGTCTACACATCTACACACACCTTCTCGTCGCTCCATCATCCATCAAAGGCTCCGTCGCCCGTCAAGACACAAAATACGACCTCCACACAGCCATCCTCCGAACAAACAAACAAATACACCACGAAGCCCGCTCCGTATTCTTCGGCAAAAACACCTTCTACATCACATCCATACCCCCCACTCCCTCCAGGAAAGATGCCATCGACGACGAACAACAAGAAGAAGAAGGATCCGGCGCCTTTGAACCCCCTCTCCAACTCACCGACCTCCCCCTAGTCCGCCATCTCGAAGTCGACCTCCTCTACTACCCCACCTCCATGACCACATCCCTAGACTCGCGCGACGGAATCTGGAAACCCGTTTGCACTGGCGCAGACCGCTACACCACCAGCTTATCCTACCTCCTCAGCACCGTCTCGCCCAGTCTGCTCAGCTTGAAAATCTGCGCAGACACGCGCCGCTACGTTGGAAGTACCACAGGCCAGGACGCTCATGCTCTCAGCGACAAGTTCAAGGCCGATACCGAGAGATTGCAAGTTCAGAAGCTGCTTACGGGGTTCTACATGGCGGATAGTAACACGCTGTTCAAGAAGGCGATGAAGGATTTGCTCGTCAGGGACATTACTTTGCACTTTGATTTTCCGGAGAGCTACTTTGATTTTGTGGTGGGAAGGGAGAGGCTGTGCGGACAGAGCTTGGTGGAGTTGGCGGGGCAGGTGCTGGCGGCTAGGACGGAGATTAGGTTCAAAGCTGCGTTGCAGGAGGTGGGTGTGGGGAGTGAGGTTGCCGAGGCGGGAGTCGTAAATCTGATTCCGTTTCCGTGCTGAGGGATGAGTGCGTTTACGAAGGTTGGGTGAATTGGAGGGATCGTTTGGGACAAGCATTTTGGCATGATACCATGATTTGAGAGCACATTGAGCATTTGAGGGCGTTTTTGGTTTACAAAACTTAGATCGGTGGTTGGCATCAGGGGGTACAGGCAGCATTTCAAAGCATCACATTCACATCTCTACATCTGTCCATCGAAGTAACGACTGGTTGATGTAAACAAACAAGCTACCAAGGTTGACGCGTGTGACTCGCGATGTAAACAAACGAAATCTCATCGTCTCTGACCACATCCCTGATCTTTGTCGTATCCTTCATCAGTGTCGTAAATCGTAAGTGTCGTCTCGTATCCATACATGATCCAAAATTGCAGTCAAAACCAAACACAGATGGAACGCAAGAAGCTCGGAAAGTAAGAGAAATATAATAATACACTCGTAGGGATGTCTACGCTTACCAACGGTCCTCGTCTAGACTCTAATAGTCCCTCCTGCGATGGCGCCTCGTCTTCACGGGACTGCCATCACCCTCAGAATCGCTGCTGAAGTAGTCGTAATCATCGCGACCATAGTCGTATCCATGATCTGGACGACGATCGCGGTCGCGCCTGTCATCCTTTCGCGCATCGCGATCATCGTGTCCGCGCGATTTGGAACGGAGGCGGTCTATCACGCTGCGGCTTCTAGCACGTAGGCCGGGACCTTTGCTGCGTTCGCGGTCATGCGCGCGCGTTCGTGATCGGGAGCGCGAACGGGATTTGGAGTGGCGATCGCTTCCGCTTCTGTGATGGAATTAGAACGAGGACCAGTCAAGTGTATGGGCGGTACTCACCTCGAGCGTGTCGCCATCTGCCTGGCACCCAATGCACCCGCAGCTGCTCCTGCCAGTGTGGTCAGCCTACTTTTACCCAAGGACCTGCCCGCGAGTCCTCCCGCCAACGCACCTCCCACCGAAGCCGCCAAGCTCTTTTCGCGCAGATCCATGCCGTCAAATCTATCACGCATTTTAGTCATGCGTGAGTCATCGCGACGGGAATCTTTGCTAGAGCGGGACTGATGGGAGTGAGAATCAACGGACCTAGCCCTGTGGCGATGTTCGCGACGAGGCTTGGTACTCTCACGGCGGGAGGAGCGAGTGTCGGTGTACGCGGCCATCGACTGTTCAGCAGATGGGGGCACGTAGGTCGGGTAGACTGCGCTGGGCACAGGCGCGAAAGTAGGCTGAGAGTTGGAGCGCTGGCGGTTGAAGGGCGGGGGAGATGGCTGGTAGCCAGCGCCGCTCGCAGGGAACTCGGTGTGGTGGTAAGGGTTCATAGGGGAATTTGATCCCACTGGCGGAGGAGGGATAGGCGCATCCACGGCGGGCGAGGGAGCGTAGCCGGGGCCGGGAGCGTACCTAGAGCTTCGGGGCGCGTCGTACTGGCCATAATCTAATGAGACGTTGCGTGGCTCTGTGGGTGGTGGCTTCGGAGTGTTAGTGAGTGGGCGCTGGAGCAAGGCCGCGAGAGGCGGCTCGTATGACGGAGTGAAAGCAGCAGAAACGGGAGAACCACGAGAAAGCGTGCGAAGTAGATGAGGCTGAAAGGAAAAAGGGCTGGAAGTCGCTGACGTGGTCCGGCTTCGCAACATGGGCGGACAAGAGTTCGCCGGTGTTGGATGCTCGGGCATGGTCGCAAGCGTCGCGCGTCGAAAAGAGGAAAAATTATTTACCTGAGGAGAGTATCCGTAGGCTGGAGTGACAGAGGGGCGGCGGTCCTGCACGGGGCTCGGTGCATATTCCTGCGGATTATAGGGCTTGTATTCGGAAGTGGGCGGAGGAGGGAAGTAAGGCTGTCCCTGCTGAGGTGAGGCCATGTCTCTTGAATCGCTGTGCTGCCCGTCCAGGTCGCTGCTGTGTCTCCCGTGACGTCCGCGACTCAGACTCCTACTAGCAGTGGTTCCCGTGCTCTTTGCGCGTCGTCGCTCCCTCTTTCGGCGCTCGCGTTCGCGCTCGTAGTCGGTGTCGTCGGTGTAGTCAGAGTACTCGGTCGGCGGGCTGCGCTCTTGCCGGGAGCTGCGCTTACTGGACCGGTCTTCGCTCCGGTGCCGTTGTCTTGCGTCTCGTTCGTTGCGGTTCAGGTGCTTGCCTCTCTTCTTGCCCTCTTTCGAGTCGGGGGGTGCAAAGTAGCCGCCGGGTAACTTGTGGAAGAAGCTGTCGGGAATCTGCTCTGCGCCGTAGCTGATGGCCTTGAAGGCTAGGGCCGCCATGCTTCAGATGGGGGCCGCGAAAGCCGGATGTCGTGATGTGACGTAGGACTGTCTTGCGAGCAGCGCTGTGATTGGAGCGCGGTCGACCGGTCCCAGCGATTCGACGAGGGGGCCTAGTTCCAAAGGTTGGGAGGATAGTCTGCAGCAAGGCCGGATAGCGATAGGCCAGACTACTCAGCGCGCGTTCTGGTGTGTATAAGCGATGTAGATGGTACCTGGAGAGGGTGAGGTGGGATGGCAGAGAATTTGTCTTGAAGAAAGTGCGCGGGGGTGTAGGCGAGGTAAAGGATTATGGGATGCGTCGCGGCAAGTGACCTCGACGGATGGCGGTAAGAAGCAATTACATATGGCAATTGGGTAGCTGCACTTAAAGACGATGATATAGCTGATTCGGCGCATACGTGCGACGCCGTGGCAGCCGCCTCCTACAAACTGCCAAAATGACGTCGTACGTCATCCGTCTGGCTCGTGCGCCGCTGTCATTGGAGCCGCAACCTAGGGATCGTCGCTCCCTCAGCCTCTCTGGTAGATGAATCCTACGATGCAAAAAGCACCTCGATCAACGGTGATCTTGCAGTCATTCATGCACATGTCCATGTCATCAATGCGCCTTTTTTTCTGCCCTTCACTGTTCCCATGGACGCAGCAGTAACAGCACGAAGAACATCTACTGTGGCCTTCGGAGATCATGTTCAATGCAAGGGACGCACGGTCGGCATTACACCTACTCTCCGCGTGTAATCCTACATAGGGTCTGGCCTCCTATGGGGCGGTGGGCCAAGAGCACTCGGAATACACATTCCAATCCCCTTGCCCAAAACCGGGTTGCAACTCCTTACAACGCAGGGTATCTACTAGGAATGACCAGGGTGCAGCCTATCGTGACATTGCTGTGCGTTGGCAAGGCTCGTCGGCTTCGTGACATCGACCACTCGGAGGGTTGGGGCTATGTGCGATGACGCCACGTTTGGACTTTTGTGCTTCACCGCCATCATGACATGGGTTACACAACCATGGCTTTCTACGCGCACTCGTACGGAATTCATCGAGGAATGTGATTAGAATTCGAGCGTCCAACTGCATGCGCATGGACCGGGTATCTTATGCATCCTACTACTCCGGAGTAACCTAACGCCAGACCGACAACGAAGAGAATGAGATGAAGATCATTCAGTCATCGTGGGCCGCTCGACTACACTTGATCAGCAGCTACCGACGCAGGGCTGCGTATTTCCCCTGCTGGTCTGCCAGCGCTGTCTGGTACTTCCACCATTTCCTCCACCATTCCCAGGAATCGTTGTCTATATTCATCGCTCGTCGTCGTAATGCTCATCGGGCCATGATCTTTTCCAAACTTTAACGTGTTGAAGAGTTTGACGAGTCCCGTCATCGTCTGGGCCTGGAGTGCGTCTTTTGCCCAGAAGAAGTCGAGCACGATGGCCCGGTAAACCCACTTGCCGTCGCGCGATACGACACCTGTGCGCCATGTAGATCCTCGACCAGGGGGCGGCGGCACATCACCAGAGTTCAGGTCGGCGGGATAGCGGACGAGGAATAGCGAGTAGTCAACCGCATTATTGCCTTGTAAAATCTTAGAATCCCTGGATAGCTGCGCAACAAGCTCCTCTTTCTGATCGATAGTCACTCTGATCTTGTCTTCGAATTCATCGATGAGGCGCTCCTTGACGCTCTCGGGGGCCAGGCGCCCGTTAGCCACGTCACGTTCTGGGTAGAAGTAGTCATTGGGCTTGAGGTCATATGTCTCCCATCGCTTCTGTTGGGCCTTGCTGCAGCTCGACTTCCCGTACAGAATGTTCTCCATTATTATATGATGGCTCGGCGCGGTGCCTACAGCGGCTCCGACGGTAGATGCAGGACAGTAGAGGAGGTCGGTTATGCGGACGAGGAGGGAGTCCTCATTCAGCTCCATATGTTCGACATAGGGCTCGAGGAGGCGATCACGGAAGAAGGATTGCTCAAACTTGCGCGGCAGGGACTTGATCAGGTACTTAGAATTAGGTGTCGTGAAGAATGTCTGATGCGCATTAGCCTGTCGTCCTCAGATGCCATGTTCCGCGCGTACCGAGCCTGAGTAGCCCAGGTCCCCAATGGCGATCAGATCGGTCCGTTTGCTCTTGCTTGGGCGGAAGCTCTCGATGTACCCTTCCTCTTCAATCTCCCATGTGTCATTCCTCAGTTTCTTGAACAGAGATGCGCGATAACGAGCGAGAGCCAGACTGAAGACAGCGAAGAAGGCATAGATGCGCGCAAATAGACCCAGGCGCGCGCTTTCATCTTTACGAGGCGAATCTGATCTGAAGATGGCGCGTAATATAGACGCGCTGATGAGACGGTCTCGACGTCCCATGTTGAACTTCAATTTTGTTGCGGTTGTTGTTGGTAGAGTACACAGAAGGCAGCGTTGCGGACGCGTGAAACGCTACAGTCTCGAGGCCCGTGAATGTCAGGATGATGTCATTGCGCTAACCATGAGCCTCCTGGAGACAAGACCTGCATTGTCTGCGCCTCGTCTTCACCAGCGCGCCAAATTTCCATCAACGCAAATGTTGAGCAGCTTGCACGAAGAATCGGAGTTCCCCCCATGTGGATAAGCAATCTTGAGGATCGGCTAGATCTGATGAGACGGCTCGCGGGCTTTTCTCTCGCTGCAGCTAACGTTTAGCACCCAGCATAACCGCCACAAAAGCGCCACAGTTTGATTTCATCCGCCGCATTCGAGGGCGTCTAGGATGGCTTTTACCGAACCGCTCCTCAACCGTCTTGTCTGACACGAGAGAAACTCGTTCTCGTGTTACAGGTAGTTATTCCCGGTATCTGGTACCTTCAACGAGACCTAATCGGTGTCTTGGAACCGTTACCAGCAACCTTGCAAGAGGCACTACAATAAGAAGATCAGCTCTGTACCAAAGTTTGCAATCATCCTGAGACGCAACAAGCCGTACGGGGCATTACTAGCCTGACCTCGGGATCTCCGCGTGTTCGGCCTACTCAACTGTCAGGGACTTTGCTGGTTGTACATGGCTAGTGGATGGAGCCCGAATCCCGCTGCGAAATTTGCTCATGGCATTTACCCAAGTCTAGATTTGATGCTCCTTCACGACAACACGATTGCTTCAACCTCTCCACCTTGGCCGCCTTACCTGCTTGGCAATATCACTGCATCTTGGAACCAGAGTCTCGAACGCGGATCTGAAGAACTTCCAAACAAGCGAGCTATATATTGCCTCCTCGGAGTTACGCCCCAAGCGATCTCCCGCTCGGCACGTCTTCCGCTGTTTCACCCTGGGCCCTTATGTGATCGCGCTAAGCGTGCCGCTACAGCGCTGCAACGGCGAGGAGCAGCGCGATGGCAAATGCAATATTGCGACATCAAAGAGAAGCAAATACAGCGGACAGGAATGCAGTCAGAGCCTCGAGATGGAGTCTCCGCTATGTAACAGTCTCACAAAGCTAACAGCCTGTGCAACCTGAGTTCAGATGAATATAACGGGAATTCCGACATGGTACAACCTGACCATGTATGCATCTAGGCGTACTCGTCTAACGGACTAGACCCTTAGGTCCAGGCAGTTCTTGCCCCGTCTCGTCCCGGCTATCAGTTTGACGGCTGGCACCCCACATCACTTTGCCTCTCCAGTCTGCTTCACGGTGGGAAAGTTCGCCCAGGCGCTTCAGCATCCCCTTGCGGAGGTTTCTACCCTTCCCGCCTGCAAACTACTGGATAGAGGCTGTGTATCACAGCTGCAGGGTCATGAAGCCATTGTTGACTGGCGTCGACTGGTGTGGGTATTACCCTGCTTACTGACTACACCCAACATATAAAGCATGAGTGTCTTTCCTCGGTTTGACAGCATATTTGTACCACTGCAAAACTCATAACACTTTGCCACATCAGGTTGATACCAGACATAGTCGCGCGTCCTCAGTACTAGTCTTCCCAAATCTGTACATTCTTTTCATCCAAGTTACTCCATCACATACTCACTGTCCACAATGGCGAGCGCAGACGTTCAGCAACCACCTGCGCAGGAAGCTGCACCCGCACTACCTGACTACCTCACAAACCCGGATGCTGTTCTGGGGGACAACGATGCCAAGTGGCGATACGGCAGAGCGCCTGATTACTCAAAAACCAGAAAGGTGTTCGCTGAGAGTAAGTTACCAGATGCGGCAACGAGCCTGCATGTCAGACACAATGCAGTTTACTAATCATGCACAGCAAAGCAAATGACACACGAAGCCGGTTCTCTTCCTGAGCTCGTACAGAATCTCGTCAAGAACTGGGAAGTCGAAGCGTCCTTCAAGCCCAACATCGACGACTGGCGTACGATCGATCGGGAAAACTACTCATTCGCCATCAATGGCGGCAAGGCTGAAGGTGCAGAGGCTATGCTCAAGGTCGGCACATACAATGCTATCATTGCGCCGAACGAATACTACTCTCCCGACTACTCTGACTTCGCTTCGTCACACAAGACGTTCAAGCGCATGATGCCTACCTTCGCATGGGAGGTACTAGAAGTCTACAGCGGCCCACCAACAGTCAGCTTCCGATGGCGCCACTGGGGCCAAATGAAGAACGACTACGTCGGCTTCAACAACAAGGGCGAGAAGGTCACAGCCAAAGCACACGGAGGCTCAATCGACATCCAAGGTGTCACGGTCGCGACGGTCAACGACAAGGTGCAGCTACAGTCCGTTCGCACCTGGTTCGACCCGATGGACATGTTCAGGCAGATCGCGCCTGACGGCGTCGTGAAGAAAGAGGAGAAGCCCAAGAACATGTCACCGGCAGACGCCCTCGACGAAGCTCAGGCTGGCATCAAGGCGCCCGAAGAACAGGAGCTACCCGATGAGTTCATCCAGAGCAAAGAGGAGGTCAAAGAGACGATCGAACGTCTTGATAAGATGACGACCGAAGAGAAGATGTCGACCACCCAGGGCTTGCCTGCTGACCACCCTGCTGTGTCATCGTCTTCTAATAATGAAGCTGAGGGCGGCAGATGTCCTTTCATGCCCGGAGGCTTCAACTGAGGCGTATGTACATGTGTGAGCGTAGAGATTTGGCACATTTGGATACCTTTGAATCACAGGGAGTTATGAGCGGGTACTTAATAAGCATGGAAGCAGATCAGACAATTCGAGTTTAAATTTTATTAGTATATACCATATTGTTACAGTCAAACATCTTCGCCAAGTCGCGCTTTCCAGTCATCTCTAAGTACCACTTTCGATTGAAGTAACATTCACTTTTGTCATGCACCCCCCAATCATGAAGAGTGTTTTCGTGGAATACCACCGACTCAAGCATGCGCACTAACACCAGCCATCTATGCAGATACGATGATCGCACCCCTGCACTTTACAACAACTCAAATAGCACGTCGGCGAAGACGATGCTGCGTATCGGGATGATCTTCCGAGCAAGTTAAAGCCGTTTGGTACGATGGTCGCTAGTCAAGTCTGACGCCATAGCGGCTGCTAGTGAACCGAGATACTGTCCAACCTCCTCAGCCGCGACTACGCTCACAGCTAACTGACACCGACACCGACAACCGACACTGCCCTGACAAGCCGATGATCTCCAGCCCTTGCTTTCGGGACGCGAATTCTCCGCATAGCACTCGTTGTATACGTCCAGGTGCCTGATTATCCATCACCCGCCGTCCGCGCCTCCATCGTAGCTGCCCCGCTGCTTCCTGCCCGGTATCGAGTGAGGCCCGCGCGAATGCAGATTCGACACGCGATGTGGGAGTTGACCGAACTTGCCTAGCGTAATTAGATGCCCGCGATCCGCCCATTGCAATCGTAACGTTCGGCTCGCGCTTTACTTGACAGATATATCCAGCCTTCAACGACCGTGGGCAGTCGCGGAGAGCTGTAGGCTCCAGTCTGCGGCAGAGAAGTGTCTCCTTGCACTGTCAAAAAGTGATGTGAGGTTTCGTCGGTTTTCCAGCTATCGTCTGAGCCTGGTGGGGCTGTCTGTCCATTCAAGATATAATGGAACCGGTAACTGAGGGGTGAAGTGTTGCAGATTCTGGGTAACATTCACCTCCTCATCTTCTTGGGAATCTAGTTCTGCTTCCCCACTGTTGTCGTATACTGCGAGGACGTTCTTTTCGTCCGAAGCCGTTACCGCAACAATCTCCAAGTGACGGACGAGCAAATCTGCTAGATTGGTAGTGAACCTGTACAGTGGTGCATGTTTCGAGGCTGGATTGTTGACTTTAGTGTGGCCAGTGGACTTTTCAATGTTGTTTGTCCAGGATAAGACTGTGGTGAGAAATCGGATTTCATAAAGTTGATGCTCCGACAAAAATTTGTCTTCACGTCCGATATCTGTTCGCTGTGATGCCATCTTGACTCATGTGAGATGAAGAAAGTGTGTCGTGCGAGGACTTAGAAGTGGAAGAACGTACCCTTTATGCATCCCAAGCATTGAAAAATGTCTGACTGCAAATATGGATCCTCTTTAATGGAAGGCGTGTTGGATGTGGTAAGTTCTATCGTGACCCGCGGTTCGAAATCATCGACCATTTGGATGCAGAGGAAAAGCTGACTGGGTGGGAAAGTCTGGTACCACCCAAACTCGCGAGTCTTCCAGGATCGAACCTTGACATCAGAGCATCTGTTCATCCCTCGTCGAAGCCAAACAACACGGCAAACTCTAGCTCCTTACATTATGCAGCTCGCGATCAACACAGTCGACCCGCTCAACCTCGTAGCGAAGATGCAGGCGCAGGAATTATTTGATTCAGCGACTGCTCAGGAGAAGACTGCATATACATTCCACGGAGCAATTCACATTCAAGATGCCGCCGTGGCCAAAGACTTCGCGCTCAATACCTACACCCAGCCTAGCTATCCTCGCACACTAGTCGTATGGGCCGATGGCAACGGGGGTAAACGCCTCGACGACGGCCCATGCACCGCAGCTATAGGATACCACGACCCTTTATCTCGAGAATGGGAAGTGCACATCACCGTGAGCCATCGTCCTTCTTGGATTGAAGCTAGCCTCATCGCCATCCAGGAAGCTTTCCGTGCTGCTGCGACGCTGGCTGACCACATCGACCACTTGATCGTGTTTTCAAATGCGCAGAAAGTGCTTGCGAACCTTGAAAAGAGCAGCGATCTCTCATGGGGACGAGATGAAGCTCTCGTAGAAAGGGTACAGCAGGCTGTAAGGGAGCTGAAGGAACAAGGTATGCAGGTAGATCTGCATTTTGTACCGAACCGTACGAGAATAGAAGGCCATAGGCGGGTGCAGAGACTCTCCCGAAAGTACAAGAAGAAGGTCATGGCGGTGGCGCCGAAAGAGCTTCTGGAGTACGACATCAACTTTTGTCCTATCAGACTGAAGCATCAACAGCACAAGAATGCGAAAGAAGAGCTGGAGGTGTTGCTGCGCAGTTGCTTAGAGGATGCGAAGGTCGCAGGTATAGTAGGACCTCGTAGCTCGTTGAAGCACGAGTGGAGGTTCAAGGCACGTCGTCTACGAAAAGAAGCAAAGAGAGAGTATAAGAAGATGAGAGAGCGGGAAGGAAAGCCACTGAAGCCGACAGACTTGGAACGAGCGACATTGCGGACGCAGAAGGGTCGTTCCAGAAAGGCGCCAGGGAAGACGGAGAACGAAGAGTTTGCCATCGAAGCAGGGGAGAAGATACTCGGATGGCAAGATATATACCAAGAACTCGCAGGTAGCTCGTGGGAAGATAGACGCGGCCTGAAGAGGTGAAGCCATAGCATCGTTTCGGGAGTGGGCGACTGGACATTCTCTAACTTCGATCTTCTTCGCAAGTACTTTTGACTGCATGAACACGTTATTCCATGGTGCTACATGCATTGCAACAACGGCGGTGGGGTACAGGTCGAACCGATGTTCTCTCCAGCCGGTTAGCATTTTTCGATAGTTCGTACGCGTACAGTGGGTAACACTAATCATCAAGCTCAACATGTATCTGGGTATACTCCGGTTGTACTATATATCCGTGCTTTCCAGTATGTCATTATTCACCGAAATTGGATATCGTAGACCCTGAGCGTACCCTTCCTGAACCACCGCTATCTTATCGGGAGATATGTGTTTTCATGTTCGAAGATTCGGAAGTCGATATCGGAGTGGCATAACGGTCCCGCCACAGCCTTCCTGCCGCCCACGGTTGCCTGCCCAACCCTCTTGGGCTGGCCTCTGTTTAGGATGATTTCCGCAGGCAACAGTGAGTCATACCTCCCTTCATCATCATCAATAAGACGTGTGATCACGGTTTCATGCTAGTCGGTGGCTACGCGCCAGGCTACTCGACGCGACTGGTGAAGACACGGTGTCAGGTGCCTCGTACCTCGTACAAGAAACTTGGAAGTTGGTCACACAGGATGGCGCAAATCTGCGCCGTTGGGTGAGGCTATGGATCTAGTCTGTGGCACGCTAGGACGAGTGTCTCTTCTGCCTGCGCGGAGATGGTGAGAGGGCTCTCGTTGGTGTGTCGACGTGACTCAGCCCTGGACCAAGGCGGATCATCTCGGCAGCCGAGGTGCGCTAATGGGGGGCGGGCAACACCGATGAGTCGTCAGCTCGCCGGGCGCTTGGCGCTTCTGGAAGGGGCGACGATGAACATGCAGCTGCAAACTCTGCTGTGAGCGTGGGAGGCGCGAACCATGGTCATCGCGCGCCCGCGAGACACGGTCGAATGGTCGCGGATGTAGAGAGCCGAGGCCAGAGGCGGATGCACGCGTTTGGCATCGCTTTGGGACAGAGGCCCGGCGTCATCAGCCACTGCGGTGAGGGGAGTGGAGCTGGGCCGTCGCAGCGCAAGGCGGCGATGTGTTGGCAGCAGTTCATTGCTGCTTGCGCCGTTTGCGTCATCGCGATGGGTTTGTGTGCCATGGCGATTGCGCTGAGGCATTTCCTGCCGTTTTTGCATCGCTGCTGCATCACGGCACCGCGACGACCGGCTAGGCTGCAAATGAGGGCGTCGCGTGCTGAGCAGCTGAGATTACGAGCGTCGCAGCAGCCGTCGAGGGGGTCGGCCGCAAATATAGCCACGAAAAGCACGGTGAAGGCACAAAATAACCCTTCCTGGCATGGCGTCGCCTCCACGTCCAATGGCGCGGCAGGCAATGGGAAGACGCGTCCTTGGCTCCCAGTCGGCCGGTCCCTTCATCTCAACATAGCTGGGAGGCAGAATGAGGGGGTGTAGCAGGCAGTCTGCGACTCTGGCGCTACCAGCGTACCATGGCACGGAGCGTTCGAGAGCAAACGCGCCTAGTGTGAAAGAAAAGGAGACGCCGTGTGTCGCAGCAGCTGGTCGCGTCGCAATCAGCGTGAACAGCCTCAGCGCGCGCAGGGAGTGGGCGGGTTACAGAGGGCCATTTACCGCTGCGCCAGGCATGGCGGCAGGCCGTGTTGGCATGCCTGTAGCCTTGGAGCCATGCGTGATGATGGAGCGTCTCACGCCTCACGAGATGGGGGTAGAGCACCCGCAACTGCTTCACGCAACAGCAGTGCGGTGGGGGCAAGAGAGCGACGTCGCTGCCCAAGCAACGCAGCTGCAAATCACGCACTGCCATGTCTGGCTGATGGCAAATAAAAAAAAGCCAGCGCGATGAGTCTTCCAAGGTTGGGTTGTGTGGCAAAGAGGCAAGCTGGCCAGTGCGCCCGGGTGCGATGACTGGACTGGGGGCGCTGTAGGTACGGGGTTCCTATTAGTATCGCCAGCGCCGCCCAGCCCGTCACCCTCATCAAGACAGCAGCAATGGACTTCACGAACATCTACAGCGCCCCCTGCGGCCTAATCTAGGACGCCAACCGCGAATAGTGTCGTCTGTTCTCTGTCGCCTACCCGTCTACCTACCCAAACCGACCCATTCCATCTTTGTCCAGGTAGCAGTCTCCGCATCGACCTTTGTCGCCGCCACACTGCCGCCTACCGCATAGACTCATCTCGCGCTTACATTCATCGTTGAGACGAGAGAGCCTGTCCTTTTATACCTCCTCGTCCCGTACCTGCGTCGCGATCCGACGCCCTCTAGTCGCGCCTTCCCACCTTTACCGACTTCCCGACCGCCACTTCCTCACACGTCAGACCTACACCTCCCAACTCCACCACCAACAGCTCTTATGTACACCAACCCCCAATAATAATAAAACAAACACCTGCAACAAACAAACACTCAAACACCCGACCGCCCTCCCCGCGAACACGCGAAGTCGCTCAGCCTGGTGATCCCGTCAAGGTAGTCACCATCCTCGAACGCTTCCCACGTCGCACCTCATCAACACAATGTGCCATTCGGCCTACACTACTTCAGTCACTCGTCGCTCAGAATTCACCACCATTTCCGAAACCAAAGCCTTCACCCAAGGCTTCGCTTGCTAGACCCCCGCATCCCCTCAGACATCCAGCTCTTGCGACAGCGCCCGCTGTTCAGTAGCTGTATCATCAGAGTGCTTCGCGGACGGTCTTCTACCACGGTCTTGTTTCGGTGATTCTGCAGTTGACAGTGACTGGAGCCCGCTCTAGTCTGCACCTGGCAGCTTTTCGACCACTTGACACTGCTCGAATCCTACTTCCACTTGCGACTCGTCAAACCCTACCAACCTCCTACGTATACGTTCCGCCTTCGAAACCTACCCTCTCCCAGCTCTTCAGACCGTTAGACCGCTTCCGTCACACCACGATCACACACGATCAGGCCACTTGACGGACGAGATTTCGCGATCGAGGAAAAGATCCCAACAAGGGAACAGCGTCTCGAATTATACGTCAGAGGTCACAGGGTTGTCCTCTACGGTTTGTCCCATCGGTTAAGTTCTCGGTCACCCCACGACCACCCGATCACGCTCTGCGCCACCCCTCCAGGTCTACCTAACGGTCAGCACTTCGAGACGTAACGACAAAGCCTAGTCCCATCTCCGCTCACTCCTTATTGTCTACCTTTCCTTACCAGGCCCCGTCCCGTATACCCCTCCTTCACCATGAGTCTTGCCATTCCTCTCTCTAGCCACGGCTACATGGCTGAGACCCACCCTTATGCCGCTCCTCTTTCTTCTTCCGCTTCCTCTTCAACCTCCTCAGTATTCTCAGACGCTGCGTCACAAGCGTCAAGCGCAAGCTCCACATCGTCTCACTCAAACTGGGACTCAGAAGAATGGAGTCGCAACCAAGTGGCACCGCCGACAATTGTCGACCCTGCGAGCTTGTCAGCTTTCCAGCCCATCAGCCGAGTTAGCACATATCCTCAGTACCAGTCTACGGTGTGCCGGGAGCCTGTACAGGAGAGATTACCTTCCCTGCGCACTGAGCTGTTGGCACCTCTGGAGCAGCGACAGAATCCTCGCCGATCGTCGACCACTGTCAACCAGAAGCCCCCACCTCAATTGGTACGGCAATCCGACCGAAAGGTCAACTTCGTCGATTGCCTCGTCGGTTAGTACACGTTTATCCCTGGACCATGGTTCCCCCGCTGATTATTCCTCCTTAAGATTCCGCTACTCAGATGGTCGAGGTCATCTGGCAACTTTCAGAGCCCAAGAGCCGTTGTGAGAATGCTTCTGGACGTGGAGTGCTTCCTCTCCGCATGTTCATCCAGGAGACCCTCCGTCGCTCTCGCACCAGCTACTCTACTCTCCAAGTTGCCTTGTACTACTTGATCTTGATCAAGCCTCACCTGCCCAAGCACGACTTCACCATGTCCCAGCCTGAAGACGCATCTCTTCGTGCGCTGCAATGTGGTCGTCGCATGTTCCTTGCTGCGCTTATCCTCGCATCCAAGTACCTACAGGACCGCAACTACTCGGCTCGCGCATGGAGCAAGATCTCTGGTCTCAAGGTTTGCGAAATCAACACCAACGAGATGGCTTTCCTCGAAGCTGTCAACTGGAAACTGCACATCGTTGATTCGGTATGGGAGAAGTGGCAAGAAGTCGTCCTGCGACACACGCCTACCCTTCCTCCGCCATCACCTGGCGCTAGCATCCCCAACACTTGGAAAGATGTCATTCCTATTTTGACACCTGAGTTGGATATCGTCCAGTTGGCTCCCAAGAAGTCAGCAAACGCTCCCGTACGTCCTCCTCTGAGGCCTCAATTGAACGCGTCGCCCTACCGCTGTCCATCGATGGATGGCTACGGATCGCAAGAGAGCACACCAACTCCATCTCGCTATCAAGTGCCTCGCTTCCTGGAGCCGAAGCCTGATCTTCCCCACACTCCGTCACTGCCATCCCTGGCTCGCTTGGGTCCACTACCAACCCCATCCTTGACCCCGCAATCCATCACCAGTAACACTCCTGCAGCGAGTGCCATGGCTTTCGGATCGCGCCGCCCATCGATGTGCACGGCAATGCAACAGGCACAGTGCTCCTCACTGGCACGCACCTGTGTAGACCAGTTCAACCCAAGCATCAGGAACGGACTGGAAGCTTACCACTTCCCAAGCCGACGACCTTCCCTGGCTCCTTCCAACTCATCTCTATCGTCCTCTCCAGAGTCAATGATCTCGGACAACTCGCGCACTTCTCGTGCTTCATCAATCTCGTCGGTCTCGTCTGCCGGCTGGGCGCCAAACCAAAGCCAGGCCAGCTTGGCTCGGTTGGCGACCTGCCGCAGCGCGAAGCTCCCGTACCCGGTTTTGTCGAAGTGCAAGGAGCAGTACGAGTATGCTCCAAGTGAGCCCATGTCCTCACCCGATCTGGACAGCTTCCATATTGATGATTCGGATTCGTCGCCAGGCAAGGTCGACAGCCCTGCGTGCGTCACTCCCGCAAGCCGCAAGCGTGGAAGGTCTTCAGTTGATCTCCAGCAGAATGTGCGACACTTGCTTCACAGCACTCGCTCCGCATTCGACCTTCGTGGTCAGAAGCCTGTGCTTCCTGATAGATCAGTGTCGCAATCATTCGCCCTCTCGCGCAGTGAACCAAAGGGGCTACAGTCCCCTAAGAACACTGTTCCTTATTGCTCGCGTCTTCCTATCCAGAAGGACTTTGGCAAGAAGAGGTCGTGCTGCAGCACCGAGGTCGCGCAAGCCTACCGCCCACAAGGCCCAGGCATGTGGGCTGGCATCCTCTAAACATGACAACATCGTCATCACAGTATTGAAAGCCCAAAGAAGGCTAAAGAACAAAGAAAGAGAAGGAAGTATCAACGCAACTATTCACTGTTCGTATTTCACACACACAGTCACACTCTACATTACCGTGTATATTTTCCTTCACCACCTCCGAACCTACCACGTGTGTATTCTCCTTTGGGCGTCACAACAGATCTCATTTGCTACTTAGCTCCGGTATACCTATTTGGGTTACTTTTGGCGTTTTCAACCTTACTACCAACTGGCGTTTATATCTTTTCAAGGACAGCTCGGTTTGAGCGAAAGGTGGGGGAAATACCTTGATCACAGGCAGGTGCATTAGCATGGGTTCAACAGGATCAGGCGTAGTTTGTGTTCGCACGCACATGCGCCCCTTTAGTCGGGATGGATGTACGTTTACGCTACGGCGACGGTTGACGTGCTGTGGTATGGTTTATATCCAGTGAGTAGGTAGTGAGTAGTAAGCAGATGTTGATGATTCTAAACCTTCCCTCGCTGCCTGTGTGTATGTGATGTGGTGGTGTGGTTTGCTTTCTCATGCTTTGGGTGTCTATGCTGACTGTACTTTGGGCCTTTGTATCATATGCCTCAACTCGAAGTCGGATGACCTTCACTAGATCTTCCTAGTATCATTAACATGCACCTCCTTCCCACCCTTCCCCCCGACACTCCCCATCGCCCTAGCAACCGTAACGCTCTCCCTCAACGCCTTCCCCAACACACCCCTCACCCCACCTTCCTCCAGCACCATAACCCCCGCAATCGTACACCCCTCCGGACTCGTTCCCATATCTCTCAACTCGCCCGGCTGTATCCCACTCTGAAGCATCTCCGCACTGCCCCGCATACTCTGGTAGATCTGCTCCTGAGCCAGCTTTCGCGGTAGACCCACAGCCACAGCAGCGTCGATGAGGCTGTCGACGATGATGGCCCAGAATGCGGGTGTGGAGCCTGAGACGGCTGTTGTGGCGGGCATGAGCGCGGGTGGTATGGACATGGGTTTGCCGATTTGCGTGAAGATGGCTGTTGCCATATCTTTGAAGTGGGGAGGGAAGTTGGGTGAAGGGTGGTCTTCGATGGCGGTCATAGACTGTGAAACGAGCGCTGCTACGTTGGGGAGGGTACGCAAGACCCATGCTCTCGGTTGATTTGGAAACTGTTTATCACGTAAGTCGCTCTCGGCGCTGATCAGCTCTTCGATAGCTGGACGTGTCCAGCCTGCTACTATACTGATTAGTAGTTTCCCCTTTAATCCTTCATCGATGTCGCTATCGTCGTCCAGTATTGCTTCTACTTGTGAGGGGTCGACACCGAGGATGATCACATGGGAACTTTTGATAGCGTTGACGTTGTCGTTTCTCATGATACGTAGGTTCTCGTGCATCGAGAAGCGATCCTTGAGGCGTCTTACGGACGATTCGCTTTGGACGCAGGCGATGAATTGGGTGATGCCGCAGAGAGAATCTGAAGGAGCATTGAGGAGGCTGTGTAGGATGGGGGTACCGAGGTTGCCTGTTCAATAGTAGGTTTAGAGTTGCTGTTCGAGACTTGTCATTCCTTTGGATGAAAGTCACTCACCACATCCTAGCATGCAGAGTGTCTGGTCTGACATGGTTGGTGGCGAGAATGTTGCTGCTGGCGACTCAGGAAGCGCCTCTTGGGGTAATCCGCTCAACGGCCTTTGCTCTTATTGTCATGACCCTTTCGAAAGAGCCTAAGAAACTTCAGCGTAGTATTTTGAGGTCATCCCCGCCCTAGCCATCGGTTTTGCTGGATACGTATGATGGGTCTCGGAAAGGAAACCGGTCCCCACTTTTCTTCGCGCCGCCGTCAGCGGGGAAAGCGACTGCGGAGACCCACCTCCGCGCCTGCATCTCTTCTGCATCCGAACGCGCTCTTGCCAAAGATAACATCTGGACGCCGACAGTAGCCGGATTTTCTACGAAGATGGAGTCGTTGCAATGAGCTATGGCTACTGCACCTAGAATATGACAGATACGTGATGCGCATCTTGCGACAATGTATTGTTGAAGCACCTCTACCTAGGAACCTTGATCTAATTGACTACCATTCATATCATAAATGTAGCCTCACCAATCTTCATCATGCCCAAAAGAACCTTCTCCTAACCTCCCTCTTCAGCGCGGTAAACTCATCCTTAGTCCTCAATACGGCATCACGATTCTCTACTGCCCTCCGAAGCAAATACCCCACACACTCGCCCATGCTACCCCAAGTAGTGCACTTCAACACCTCAGGCGCCTTGCCACCCACCCCCTTCTCCGCTAACAGGGAAAAGCTGACTTCATCTGACATGCCGTGAAGCTGCCCGTAAGCGACGGGAACAGTAGGCAGACTGGCTTCCGTACGCTGTCGGTGGAGCTTGTGGGCCGAGAGCACGCTTTCGCGGTTGTGAGAAGCGAGGAAGAGGTTTACAGAAGGGAACCGGCGGGCAGATGATCCAGATGCCCCGAAGCTGCCTATTTGCTGACGAAGCGCACCCTGTGCTATCGTATTGTAGGCGTTATCTGTGTCTTCTTTGGTGTCATGGATCAAGGAGCGGTTATCTGAGAGGATGTATGCACCACGCACGAGCTTGAGACCAAGAGTAAACCCGTCTCTTTCCGCCTCGGCCATATGGTGTGCGAGGACTGTGGGAGTGTCTTTGAGGTAGGCTTGATATGTGTTGTAGATGACAGCCTTACCATTGCGGTTGAACTTGCGCATTAGTTCGAGTGTCGTGCGAGTGATGCCTGATTGCCAGTGCTGAGACTCAGCGTCGATGATGATCTGGACATTGCGTGCTTTACATTGGGTCGCTATCTCATCTAGGGCGTCGAGCATTTGCTGGGGTGGAAGCTCGCCTTTACTGAATGCTGATGAGACGGCTGGACCACCGCCTGTCGTTCTAGAAGATGTCAGTGATACATTCAGTAAGTCATCGTAATTATACCTACTTCAGAGCTAAGATGTCTCCCTCGGAGATGAGATCAAGTGTTCCTAGTGTGCCTACCCTCCATGCCTCGACGTCTGCATCATGCGCCATACTAGTCTTTTCATCGACAAAGCTATCCGAGGTATGATGGTTTGCAGACTTGCTTTTGTGATCAAACACCATCTCCTTCGCATACGTCAAGATCACCCCTTTGAATCCCAAATCCTTCAGCTGCTTTACACAAGCTCGTGTCTCTTGTTGTGTTTCTCCGGCGCAAAACTGATTATACAGGGTTCTCTTCAAAACAGCCTTCAATACAGGGTTTCGATCTATATTGAACAACAGGCTTCGATTCGGTTTCGAGAAGAAGGAGAGCAGGTTGAGTGATGGTATCAGAAGGAACTTGTTAGACGATATTGTGGCGACGAAGAGCGAACGGAGCAACATGTGCGTCGGCATTGCTGATAGCGGGTATTGTGTGGGTGACGGGTTTGATATTTGTGTAGCCGAAGCCTTCATCCGTGGCAGTGCAGTTGTAGAGCTGAGACGTGTCTCGAACGTGTTGAAGCCATTGATGAGACATTTCCTGCTCGCTACTGCTCGCAGTGTTGATCTAGTAAGCCGTTGATGAAGCATCATGAATCCAATGTGAGGTGGCGAGACTTAGGAAGCCAGCCAAAGATAGAAGAGTGTTTCAAGATAGATGATTGAAGCTGATATGTAGAGTGCTCCTACAACTCTACCTCTTCATCGCCTTCCTTATCTCAAACCGTATCTCTACCATATGATGCACGACCCCGCTCCACGTCTCGAACGTGGGGCATCGCCATGCTCGTGACTATCGCGTCCAGGTCCATAGCTCGGACGTGCAGCCGAATCGCGTGGAAAGTCCGGATGTGGTCGGCACTACCAATAGTATAATGCAAGAGGCGAAATGATAAGCTGAACGAGACCAATGGTAATTATGACCGAACGCGACATCCCTCTGGAAGTAGGCCAATGCGGGGTTGATTGTCGATGCGGCTTGGATCGGGTTATGCATGACGATGTCGGCATAATATAAGAGCGAAGCTACCTTTTGAGTATTACGTTTGTGAACACTCGTATACTCCGCCCGTATAGCACAAGGAGGTATGAATTGTCTCGATACATGATCTCGTTGCAGCGTTGAGAAAACATGTCTGAACAAAGCGCACGTCTTCCGCCTAGTTGGGAAAGTACGTTGGCGAAGCGTCTTGACAGAAGAGGAACGAGACTGGCAAGTGCTCGATCACATTATGCATCCATGTAGCAGCTTTCTTATCAAGCTTATCGTTGGCCGTATATGGTGTGCATAGAGCCTCCATATGTAGGACACAGCTTCGTTGCGATGAACAGCGGTCGCTGTCGGAATGAGTTCAATAACTATGTCCCAGACATATATAGCAAGAAAATCCTGTCTAAGAGTGCTCTTTTGACTACATTTCTGGCATGCGGTTAGAAGATAATATCCAATGTACGAAGAAGGACTCGCTGGAGGCTGTCAACCTGGGACCTATCGCTGACCGCGCGACTTCGGTCACGGGCATCACGGCTGTGCTCAGTCGTCGTAATGCCAGCAATTCGACATATGTCCATGCCGGAAGAGGGCATGAAACACGATTGGGCGATACCCGTCTCGCTTTCGAAGTGTCGGGAAGCCATCCGATCTTGCAGGAAGGGAGAAGACACGGACCAAACAGCGTCCGACATTCTGTGGGGACAGTCTTATCGATAACACTAGCGTGCACTGGGCAAGTCAGGAGCAAGCATCACAACACCACGATAACGCGTGCAACATCTGCGGGGCTCGATAATGCATGCGACAGCGGACATGATCCCGTATCGACAGTCTAGTGAGACTTCGGTCGATGGCGTCGTGTCATGTATGGACTGGACACTCACGTCGCACGACTGCACTTCCAGGGTCTCATGACATACTGTGACGCTTCAAGGTGTTTATCCTTGCACTCGTACTTCGCATCTTTCCTGGCTTTATCACCATGAACGTTTCTAGAAGCGACGCTATAGCTATCATCGGGGGAGGCGCTTTCGGTCTCTCCACGGCTCTTGAGCTCTCAAGGAAAGGCTACACCAACATCACGGTCTTCGAGAAAGATGAAGAGATTCCATCCCGATGGTCTGCTGGCAACGACCTGAACAAGATCATGCGGGCGGAATATGAAGACGATTTCTATACAGATCTGGCCGTGGTATGTAGCTGTCTGCACCCCGAGCAATGCTATGAGGGACTGATCGTTCGAGCAACGACTGACATACCGAAAGGAAGCCACCCACGCCTGGCAAACGCCCATCTACGCGCCTTACTTCCACCGGGTTGGCTATCTTAATGTTGTTTCTGGTGCTGCATCCCAAAAAGCAGTGGGAACGCTGCACCGGTTCCAGGCGGCTGCCGAGAAGCACCCGGAGATGAAGCCTTTCTTTCATCCCATATCGGGCCCCCAAGACGTACGTGATGTAGCTGGAGCTTGGCAGTTCACCGGTGACATGCCCGGCTGGAAGGGATACGTGTCCAAGTACGACGGCTATGTGCACTCAGCTAATGCGCTGAGAGGTATCTATCGCGAGGCCAGGAAGAATGGCGTTAAATTCTTCTTGGGTGAGAAAGTCGGTGCCATAGAGAAGATCGTATATGAGGGATCGGGCAAGAGCAGAAAGAGCATCGGTGTTCGAACGAAGGCCGCGCAATTCCATGCCGCTAAGTTAGTCATCGTCGCCGTTGGTGCCGCAGCTCACAAGATTGTCCCTGAGATCGGTGCCGAAGTGTCCGCGAAATCGTGGTCAGTTGCACACGTCCGCCTTACCGATGACGAGACGGCAGCACTTCGCGGCATCCCAGTAACATACTCCCGCGACCTCGGTTTCTTCTTCGAGCCAGACCCAAAGACGAATCTCCTCAAGATATGCCCGATGGGAGGTGGTTATATCAACACTAACCGAAGCACCGGGATATCCGAAGCACCGCAAGAGCTCATGCGCTTCGTGCCGAAAGACGACGAAGAACAGATGCGCGAACTTCTCCGCCAAACACTGCCCTACCTTGCCGATCGGCCTCTGGTAGAAAAGGTTATATGCTGGTTTGCAGACACAGCAGACTCGGACTTCATTGTCGACTACGTGCCGAACACCTCCTCTTCTGTTATGATACTGTCGGGCGACTCCGGTCATGGTTTCAAAATGTTCCCGATCGTCGGAAGATGGGTAGACAACCTGCTGAACGCACCCGACGGAAAGCAGAGTATTCCGAGGTGGCGTTGGAGAGTGCCAAAGCAGAAGGCCAAGGGAGAGAGCTTTGACCATGATGTGAGCTGGCGGACAGGAACTGTTAGAGAGATTCGCGATGTGCAAGAACAGGAAGCGGTAAAGCCAAAGATGTAGAGGTTTCGGCTTATGTGCGCCTTCCATGAAACTCGTCGTGGTCATTGCGCGTAGTTCGTATGGTGGTGATGTCAGTCATTAGATGTTCGAATCAATGATATGGTAGTCGTCCAACGTTGCAAAAGAAAGCCAGTCGGTCCCATCCATGTCCATAGACTCTGCTACAGCCAATATTTGCTCGGCGGTTAAATCATCACCAAAACCGCTCCCTTCATCACTGATTCCTGTATAAGATGATGGCCGCACCGTATCTTGTGAATGCGGAAGACCGGCTACAGACTGATAGCCTAGAGGGAACGATGATGGGTGTTGCATGCTTGGTTCCAGGCCGATAGTGGTTGGTAGTGTTGATGGTCGCTCCCTGTTCTTGGAGTACTCCGCCAACATCTCATCAAGCTTGCGGAGCTCCACGTGGCGAAACCCTGCGATGCGATTGCCGCTAGACACAATGGTCTTGAAAAAGCTGTAAGCCTTGTCCAGATATGGCTTTTGGCCGTCCATTAGGCTATGATCGATAAAACGCGTCAAAATCAGGACCACAGTTGATACGAAGAGTGCATCCAGATCCCAGGGGAGGAAGGTCTCTGTGTCATGGTCAGTCCACGGCATGGCGGAATAGCTGAGCACTATACCTAGTAATCCTTGATCTTGTAGAATCTCTAGAATATCGATGATCTTCTGAGAAGATTCAAGTGACATGCACAGTAGATGGCGTATCTTGCGTGAGGAGATTAGCGGTTGTACCTCTCTTGGTGACTCAAAGACCTTCTTCATACAACAGAAGAGCAACGGTCTCGTCACAACAACGATTGTCTAGTAGTCCGTCAGAATTGTTAGATATCGCGAGAGATGTGGATCTTACTTGATAGTAGAGTAGATGTAGATAAGCCGGCATCCTCGAGATTCCGCCAAAGCGCTCGTCCGCATGCAGCGGGAATGAACGTCGGAGTTCTTCCGCTAAGGACGTAAGATCATCTAAAACGGCCTTGATGCTTAAGACAAACTTCCTGCGTAGGCGACCTTTAGAACCATATACAGCTAGGGGTTTGATCAGCAATCGCGTATATGAGATGGATAACGATCCACATACTCCTAGCTATTTCCGCATAGATACGTGCAAGCTTGATCTGCATGTCGAGGGCTGCCACTCTTTGAGCTGAGCCCCCAAAATCTGGAAGCTGGCAAGTTATATCCTCATCTCGAATCGATTGCGGTAGTCCCATCAAAGATGTCATCTGCCGGTCGAGGATATATACCGTCCACCAGATCTTACGGCATCGCTGAACAAGAGGCTGGCCTAGATTTTCCACCGGCATATCGGTATGCATTCCTTCAATCATTGATATGCGCATGGCTTGACCTATCTAGTAAGGTCAGTGAACATCTACAAGATATGGTTGACGCCGTACTGTTACATGTGCTGCATTCCTTGAGTCCAAGGCTTGCAGAAATAGCGCTATGCAGCAAAGTATTTCGATTGCCATTAAGGGTTCGCGGCAAAGACGACTGGTATCAGGCAGAAGTTGAACAGCGTGGGTAAAGAAGTCGGCGCCTGGCGGCCGCGGCGTCTGACTCTTCCCTTGGATGAAGGTCTTTCCAAAAGCTAGGACGAGAAGGAAGTGTATGTACCACAAGCTGTCTTTCCATGTATCTCTCTCATTGTTCGAGTAGAAGGCATGCAAATTTGCCATAAACTCGTCTTCGTCAAAGAGATGGACGAGCTGGGCGCAGTGAAACTTCACAGCATTGTACAGAAAGATGGCGTAGTCGATACTAGGTATGATGGGGGAGTTGAAGTCTGGAAGGCTACGTGTGCCATCCCAGAGATGTTCATATGCCGAGCCATCAAATAGCAGTTCGGCGCTAGGTAGCGGTGATTTTCGGATGTGCTCATGCACCAAATTGAGGATTTGTCCGTGGAAAGACCAGTTCGAAGACGTGCCTAGATAAACTACGAAAGCTCTTAATTGCGATTCATTAAGCGTATATCAAGAGCTTACATGGCCGTCCTGAGGATGAAGACATGAACTTGGAGGACTCAATAAGCGGGTTCATCAAATTTGCTTCATCTGGGTCGGGTCTAGGTATGGGTGAATTATCCCTCGTCCCCTCAAAGCTCGATGGATTCGCTGGCGGACGATCGTCATCCGCTACTGGTGAGTTTCCATCCCCAACCTGAGTCGTCCTATTGTTAGCCGTCGTTCGTGCTTGTGATGCACCCGATTCGTATGTTGGATTCTGCTCCAACCGGGCTATCTTCGCCTGGAGATCGGAGAGATATCTGAGCAACATTAGTGTTTGCTCATCCAGATAGTAGTGCTCCTAAGCTACCCTTGAGTCACTAGGATCTTGTTTTCTCTGTCATCAAAGATGCAAGTAAGGCTTCGTCTGCCACAATTGGAGCACGGCTGCTGTCCCGAGCATTTGATCTTCTGCCTCCTGCATCGCGAGCAACTGCCCGTAGTTGTCAATAGTGCACCACATTGGCACCACGCAAGCTGCGTACGCGTTTGATGATCGTTTAGTCACTCTTTGGTGGTCGTTGGAGGATGGCATCGTGCTTGCCGAGGCTATTCACAAATCGGATGGACGCCTGGGCAGTTGAATGAGGTTGTCGGTAACGACGCGGAAGTAACGCGTGTGAGCTCGCATGCAGAAGCTCTGCAGTCATGAGCCAGAGACATCGACGGCCGATTCCGGCTAGATACCACCTGGGCACTAATGCGGGGACTGATAGGGAGCTGATGTCATCGCTTGGCACCTGCCATCGTGTGCGTGAGTGGGCATCTCTGATCCTCACCAAAGATCATCCGTCTACCAGGTGATAATCTCACGCATACCTTCCGCAATCGCAACGTAGTCTGTGATGTGGCCGCGACTCTGAAATGACGCGTCGACGTAACGACGCCCTACGCGTTCCCCTGGATGATCAATCTACCTAGGTAAGCGGCTGGGTTAGCGCCTCGCACACTGAGCCGTGCGTCGGGTGCGCTTCCGTCCCTCACACACGAGCGTTCCTCATCGAGCTTCCCAACCACCGCTTTACAGATTGACCCATTGGAGCTCTTAGCACCGTTGGGAAAGGGTTTGTGGTTGAGAATGGAGAGGCGACGTTATCTGGGTGTGAAGGTCTGTTCCTGTTCAGCGCCCTGGCCGTAATGCCATTTACGCGACCATACGTCGGGTGGCCTCCCGATCAACTTGCGCAGCGATGCGAAGGCATGCATGGCATGGTAAGCTTATCAGCCAACCACAAGTCGCCGTGCTGTTTGTCGCAAACGGGTATTCGCGGGCATGAGAGTCACAGCGATATCGCTAGGCGTAGTATGTGTCGTCGGAATGCATTGCCGTTGCGAAGTACTATCGTGGAGAGGCAGGTATAGAAGGTAGATCCACGACAGAGTGCTCACCATACCTCTCTCTACCCCACCATGTTGACCACCCGAAGCCTCGCACGACTCTCTGAGAACACAAGGCGGCCTCTGACAAATGTATCGAGATCACGCTTCCCCCAATGCCAGCTACGTACAAAGGCCACAGTACCATTCCGACTACCTGATGCACGCAACGAGCCAAATCCGACTTACGAGAGAGGCTCTCCGGAGCGCACCCAGCTGGAGGTGACCTTAAAGCGCATGAAGTCGCAGATTCCCCTTCAAAGCGAGATTTACTTCAATGGCAAATCGCAACAAGTTTCTAGATCTTGGGATCAGCCATTACCGGCTGAGCACCAGACTTCCTTCACCAATTACCCACTCGCAACCAAAGAGCAGGTCTCAATAGCCATCGAGTCGGCCCTCAAAGCCAAGAAGTCATGGGAGAATACGGCTTTTGTTGATCGAGCGGCAATCTTTCTCAAAGCCGCGGAGCTAGTAGCGACCAAGTACCGGTATGAGCTCATTGCGGCAACCATGCTTGGCCAAGGGAAGAACATTTGGCAAGGCGAAGTAGATGCCGCTGCTGAGCTGGCGGACTTCTTCCGGCTGAACTGTAACTACGCGGCGGAAATCCTAGGAAAGCAACCCGAGCGAGGTACAGACGGGATGTGGTCCCGCATGGACTACCGCCCAGTGGAAGGGTTCGTCTACGCTGTCTCGCCGTTCAACTTTACAGCTATCGGCGGTAACCTGATCTCGGGCCCTGCCATCATGGGAAATGTGGTACTCTGGAAGCCGCCGCCTTCAAATATCTATGCGAGCACCCTCGTGTACAAAATTTTGCTCGAAGCTGGTCTGCCACCTGATGTCATTCAATTCGTGCCCGGAGAGCCCGAAGAGATCAACGATGTCGTGCTTAACCACCGAGACTTCGCAGGGCTTAACTTCGTAGGTTCCTTAGACGTCTTTAGGTCTCTCTGTGCTCGTATTAGTCAGGTGTCGAAGTTAGAGAGCAGTTGTAATTGTCTAATCGCAGACACGTAATTGCTTAGCTCTTAAGTATATAGCTAAGAATTTTATTTTAACTTTCTTTTATAGTAGATTAATTATAATATACTTAATTATCTTTAATTATTAATTATCTCTAGCTTTAATAGTTATAAGCCTAGCTACTTAATTATAAAACTAATTTCTACTATATATTAAAGCTTACTAGAAAATAGATTAGTTAATTTTATTTCTACTCTACTTTTTCTAAACGTTCTATAATTAGAACCTCTTTTACGTAATTACTTACTTACTACTTACTTCTTTATATTACTATATTAATTCTACACTCTAACTCTATAAATATAAATAATTATAATATAGCTATTATAGCTATAAGTATGCTTCTTAAGAAGTAATCTAACTAGAATACTTAGTTTACGCTTCTTAAGTAATACTATAATAAGAAAAGTATCTAGAAAGAGATTAATTCTAATCTTCTAGATATTAAATATATAAATACTTAGAAACCTAAGTTCTCTAACTTTCTAGTTTTAAAACTTATAGCTCTAGCTTTTCTTTCTATAGAGCTAACTAAGAATTAAAAAAATAAGTATAATAAAGCTACTTATAAGTATAATACTTTCTTATAAAATTATAATTATAAAACTAAGAATAGTACTATACTTATAGCCTACTAGAACTATAAGTCTAAGTAGTAGTTAAGAAAAAGTAAGAAGATTAATAATATTAAGACTTAGATTATATACACTATTACGCTAGATTACTTATTACTTATAACTATAAGTAATAATAAAAGAATAGTCTAGTCTTTTATAAAAACTCTTAAAACTATACTTACTTTTACTAATTAAACTATATAATATATAGTTTACGTAAAGTATTATACTTATTTTAAGAAGACTTAGAGAAAAACTATAAAAGTAGAATAGGTTAATATAGAATTATATAAACGCAAATCTCTACTAAGTAATCTAGATAGAGCTATTACTTATAAGAGGTTTCTTTAGATTTCTACGCTAGTAAAGCCTACACTTATATAGGCTAGCGTAGTTTAGAGAAGTCTAGAGAGATTTAGAGTAGTCTATAACTAAGTAGTTATAATAAAGTCTTTCTTCTTTCTAAAAGTATATTCTATATAAGATAGAGAATTAAAAAAATTTAGAAGATTATATAAGCGCTAAGCCTAGACTAAAATATAGCTTATACGTTAATATTAGAGAATCTCTTTTTAGGCTACCTACTTAGACTTCTTACTTCTACTTATTATTTAGTAAGTATTTCTAAAATCTCTATATATTAGAATTAGTCTAGACTACTCTAGATTAGAGTAGATCTAGGCTAGCTTAGTATAGTCTAGCCTTACCTTTCTCTTTCTTTTACTAACAAGTATAGAAGCTTATTAACTAATACTATTAACTATAATTTAGCGTAATTTTATACTATCTATCTCTATTTTCTACTACCTAAAGTATTTTAGTAATAACTAGCTATCTTTAATTCTAATCTAGTTCTATCTATACTAATCTAGTTATAATATAAGCGCTTAGAGCTTAGTAACTAAAGAATATAACTACTAAGGCTAGATATAATCTAAATAGTTATATATACTATAGTAATATCTTATATACTACTATTAAGAATAACTAGTAGACTAATCTAGTACTCTACTACTATCTACTAGATAAGAACTACAAGATATAAGTTAGTACTTCTTTCTAGAGCTATCTATACTAATCTATACTAACCTAGATCTTATAGAGTAGAACTACTATAATAGCGTCTTATACTATTAGTAAAAAGAAGACTCTAACTCTTCTTTACTATATTCTTTATAACTTATCTAGTTAAGATTATTTTTAAGTAAGTAATACTATTTTAGTATAATCTAAGCTAATCTAGACTAATCTAGCTACCTAAGTATACTATCTTTAGTATTATTATAATATAGGTAAAAATTTATAGAATATACTCTTAGGCGCTCTTAAACGCTCTAGTCTATAATATCTTAAACGCTTCTACTATAGATAAGTTATTTTTAAAGTAGAATATTAAGGTTTAGGCTACTACTTTTGCTATATAAGTAATCTAAAGTTATTTATACTAATCTATACTAATCTAGATAGAAACACTATCTAATATATTAATAATAAAGATACGCTTCTACACTCTAGTAAGTATATCTAGTTTAATACTAAAGTTCTTAGAGTTACTTAAAAAGCTAAGTCTTATAGTAACACTAATAGAGCTTCTAAGACTTCTAGTAAGCGCGTAAGTATACTCTTTTTTATTCTAATCTAGACCTATCTAATCTAGTCTAGAAGAAGAAGAACGTAGATTCTTTTAAAAAGAAAGTTTTAGCTCTAAAAGCTAAGGTTAAGAGTCTTATTAACTTACTATTCTTAATTAAAAGTAAGCTATCTAAGGCTACTAGAAATAGCTTCTAGGCTAATTACTCTACTCTACTCTAGGTTAACCTAGCGTAGCCTAGGTCTATTTAGAGCTATTTCTAGGTTAATTTAAATAGTCTTATTCTAGTTAGCGTTTTCTAGTTATAGAGTTTAGTGTCTAAAATACTCTAGTATAGATTAGTCTAGGTTAGACTCTTTAGAGTTCTTTCTAGTTCTAATCTATCTATTATTATTCTTTATATAGTAATTAGTTACTATCTAATCTAAATAGATTTAGATTAGTATAGATTAGCTTTAGCTCTAGAAATATAATTATTAATTTCTTTATACTTATAATTAAGATTTAAGTAATTTTAGAGTCTATTATACTTAGAAAATTTATTAATTTATTTAATCTTATATATTCTCTAGCCTACTCTATTAGAATATTAGACTAAGCTAATCTAGACCTATCTAGCTCTTTCTAGGCCTACTCTAGTATAATTATCTTTAGTTAGAGTACTCTTAGAACTTCTTAAACGCTCTTATAGCGCTAAGAGAGATCTTCTTTAAAGATAGCTATTAATTATTAGAGTTTAGGTAGCTTATCTACTTAACTAAGTATATCTAAGAGTCTTCTACTCTTTACTTCTTAAGTATTCTATCTACTTTATATACGTTATTATCTACTTATAAAGTAATATAATAAAGTAGATTTTAGTCTTTCTAGACTAGACTAGTATTAGAAGCGTTCTCTAGTAGGCTATTATAAAAGACTAGGTAGATTCTACTATTTTCTAGAAGATCTAGTTAGTAGACTTACTTACTAATCTATTTTATTACTTTAAGTAAGCTCTAGTACTTATAGTCTAGTTTCTTTTTAGGTCTAGTTATATAGATATTATACGTGTCTAGTATAATCTAATTACTAATCTTAAACTTCTTAAGCTTATAGCTTTTATTATACGCCTTTTATTAGTACTCTTAGACTCTTACTAAGTTCTATTATACTATTTTACGCACTTTTTTACGTAGTTTCTAGTCTTAGAGCGTATACTTAGATAGTCTAGTTAGATCTAGGCTAGTTAACTCTAGTATAGATAAAATTATGTAGCTATACACTAGCTTAAATAGAGTAACGCTAGTTAAGTTATATTTAGAGTTATTATACGTAAACTTAGCGTTAGCTAGTAAAGTTATCTAGTTATCTTACTTATAGTTTATATAGGCTCTAAGGTATTACTCTAAAATCTAATTTATATACTTTATCTAGCTATTAGTCTAGAGATAAAAGGCTATTAATAGTAGTTATCTAGTCTTTAGATATTAAGTAAAAGTACTCTAGTACGCTAACGTAAATAGTACCTCTCTATTAGTAACTACTAACTTTAGTAGGCTATAAAGGCGTATAATCTTCTAATAGAAGATTTTAGCTAGTCTTAGCGCGTTTAGATTACTTCTAGATAGTATAAAGTATACTATTTTAGAGAAGTAGTATATAACTATAAGTATACTATTATACTTTTGCTCTTCTAGAGTACTTAGAGGTAACTTAGTAATAAAGTCTATTATAATATTCTTCTAGATATTAGCTAGTATAAATAGTAACTATAGTTCTCTATACTTAGTATACCTAGTAAGTTTTATTCTTACGCAGGTTATATAGAACTAATAGTAGTTTTTAACTATTTATTAAACTTCTAGCTACTAGAATTCTCTTAATATAAGATCTAGAGTTTAGGTAAATCTAAAGTAACCTACTAAAGAGTTATTATAGTAAGCTTACAAGACTTTAACGTAGACTACTTTTAGAATATAGAGTCTTCTCTTATAAAGAAGTATATTATCTAATTCTATACTCTATTAGTTTACTTAATATAGTTAAGTATTATCTAGTATTAATAGTGCTTTTTTAGTAAGATCTACGTACTTATTACTAAGTATGCCTTTTCTAATAGCGTTGCGTATAGAGTATAGTAGCCTAGTCTAGTTAGTAGGTAATATTAGTTAGCTTAGAGTAATAGCTCTAGTTATATCTATAACTACTCTAATCTAGAGTTCTCTTACCTCTTCTAGAGTAACTATACGCTCTTTAGAGCTATCTATGTTAGTTAACTATAGCTTATACTAAAGCTTTACTAGTAACCTCTTATTACTACTAGCTAAACTTACTATATTTTTACCTAACTTATAATCTAGGCGTCTAGATAGTCTATTAGTAAGGTTAGTCTACCTAAAGTAGTAGACTATAGTAAAGTAAAAGGCTACTAGCTATTTTATCTATTTAGCCTACTTATATAATAGTACTTTAGTAGATATAAACTTTTATAGGTTATAGTAGTTTATATAAAGAGTAATATTATAAACTATACTCTTAAAGTAATACTTCTAGTGTTTAAAGGCCTCTACTACTATAAAAAGTTCTCTATTATACGTATTATAATTACGCTTAGTAGAGGTTATCTTACGTAAATAGTATATAATTAGATACTATAGATTCTTACTATTAGATTCTAGTCTAGACTAGTTTAGAATTCTAGAGATTATAAAGCCTAAAGTATTAGTTTCTACTCTATAGAGTAGGCTAGAGTTAAAGTAAACTAAAATAAAGCCTATAGTAAATCTTTCTTTAAGAATCTTAAAAGC